GAACCTCAGGGGCAAAATATCTAACTTCACTAAACCTTTATACCTTCAACTGTTAAATGGGGATAAAATCAGTTACCTTAGAGGGTTATCTAAGGATTCTATGACATCACCCAGGCAAAGTGTTTGGCATGGTGCCTGGAACATAATAAAAGTCCAATTAATGCTTGTTGTGATTGTTTTGTTATCATCAGCAGCATCCCTATTACTCTAGTGCCCAGAAAGGCTGCCAAGAATTAATGTCCTACTATCGCACACTCCCCTGCACAGCAATCCTTTCCATCAGCTAAAGCGAAACGGCTGACAGGCAAGTCAAGATCTCCATCCCCACCTTGGATGCAGGACTGTTCAATAAATTTCACAATCTAATAAAACATTCAAGGGACCCTAGGGGGTTGAAACTCTTCAAACTCAAAATTATAAAAACAAGTTATTTTTATCATAGCTAACAACCATCTCACTAGATGTCAACCACATGCTCATTCTTAGAATGAACAAAGCTTGCATCAAGTTTTGGCAAGTTTTCCAAGACCAGATAGATAGATAGATAGATAGATAGATAGATAGATAGATAGATAGATAGATAGATAGATCGGTGGATAGATAGATAATGTGATGCTAATATGACACATTACCTTCACATTTTACTTTTTGCAGCAGGATCATAGAGAGGGTAATTTTTCAGAAATACTAGAGGGCTTCATCAATTTTCCTAAGGGCCTCTGTTTAGCCTTTGATACACAAATCAGTCTCGTTTGAAGCACCTGTCGTGTCACCTGGCCTGATGCTACCGCATTCTCATCCATCAAATGCTTGGCTTGTAATTAGAGCTGCTCTCCAGAAAAATTTTCATCCACTTTATGAAATCCTGCATCTTTTGCAAGATTTGCAATTCCACTTTGCAATGCATTTGCATCACGTTGGTGTCAAACTGTCAGATGCCCGCAGCATCTGGGCAGCTACGAGGGCATATCCATTCAAAGTATGGAGGTGCTGGTAGGTGGCTGAGCATGTGTAATGCAGGATAGGGTGTTGGGGTAGAGAATATGCCTATGAGTTTATTGATAATTAAATGAGTTTATTGGTCATCATCTGCAACATGATATTTGCTTCCCTAGCAACTTGGTACAAGATGGGCTCAAACAGTAAATTCTAAAATAATGGGATCTTCTGACCTTGTTTCTAGCCCCTGAGTGCACAGAGATGTCATCTGCTGTGGGTAACAGCTAAAGTTCTTGGCTTAAATTAGACTAAGTTTCTGTCCACAAAAACAAATATTTCTTGACTCAACCCTCCAGACACTTGAGCTCTCATTTTTTTTATTGTTTCATATGAATTATTTAGTTCAGACTTGCAGGAATTGTGCAAATGTCAAAAAATCTGGGTTTGGTAATAGTCTCTGTAATAATTCCTAATAGTTGAATAGCACTAAGCATGAAACAAAGAGTGATTATATGAATGGGTCTTCACTACATAAGAATTTATTATCCATCTCTAAGAGAGTAATGAGGTTTTATCTAGAAGCAAAAAGCCATTTATAATATAAAAAGAATTCATAAGTGAATGGCCACTTACAAAATTAATTCCCATTCAAACCTCACTCCCCACCTAATTGACTCATCTAGTGACCTGGAGCAAATCCTTTCACCCCTCTTGTCCTCAATTGCCTCATGTGTAAATTGAAAACAAAATTAGCCCAAAATGAAGATTTCCAATAGTTAAGATGAAACATGGAAAAAAACTTTCAATCAGTAAACTGAAAAGCAAGGTACCTGCGAGCAGAACTCCACCGTGTCCTTCAATGTCACTTTTCCTTTATCCTATACTGATAGAACAATTGGTTTTAGTGGGACAGTCTGTTTCCAGCCTCCCTTGCAGCTACATGGGAATAGTGACAAGAAGACAAGAGAAATGCCCACAGAATGGAGGTAATTTTTTTTTCCTGCCTTCATTTTCCTCTTTGCACCAGCTGCACTTGGTGGTGGAATACCTAGATAAGTGTCCATCATGAAAATACCCTAAGGATGATGAAGGATAAAAATAGAAGAAATCCACACCCTTAAGAACTCTGAGGATCAGAGCTACCATTCCAGCTGGCACAAAATCTGATGTGCAAGAGGAATAAGTGTCCACCTCACTTGGTGGTTACTCAAGTGGTTACTTGAGTACATGGTTACTCAGAGCTGCCCTACCAGCAGCTGCACTGTATTCTACCCACCTTCCTGTCATGCCTCTTTTATTGGCCACACAATTAAATACACCTTCATTACGCAACCCCCACATGCAAGACCAACAAATTGGAGTCATTATTGACGAGTGGCTCGAAACATGAAATCAGATTAACTTCCTCCAAATCCAGTTCTACTCCTTCCTGACAACATGATAAGTGAAAGGGATTTAACCTATCTAAACTTTGGGTGGCAAATTATAAATTGGGAATAATAAGAGTGGCATAATAATAAGGTTGGAATAAGTTTTAATAAGATTATGCACAGAAAACACCTAACACAATGACAAACCAACCGCTCAAATGTTAGTTATTATTATAGGGAAAGGTGTTTTCAGGGCTTGGAGGAAGTCCCAAGACTAGGCTCATTGCAGGGAGTCGGGGAGGGGTATTTCTTCATCCATGTTTTGTTCACCCTTTAAATGGATTTTCTTCTGAAAGGTGAACTTGTTTTGCCCTTGGCGATGTCCCAAATTCTCAGTGAAAAAAACATCAAAAGACCATGGTGTCTCACTCTTTAGATTCGGTTTTGGTTTGGAAGATGGATGTCAAGAGTATGTGGAAAGCCAGGTGAGAGTGGATACCTACATCTTTCTGAGACAGCAGGGACACTGCTGGACCCTTTCACAGTGGGTGCCAGACAGGCACCTGCTCTAAAACAGAGGGACCTACATTTCTCAGGCTCCTTTGCCTTCTGGCATCCTGGTCCTCTCAGTCAATGGGACTGGTGAAAGTCTGGAGGGCAGAGGATCCTGCTAGATGACTTCTCACTCCACCTACCCATCCCAGTTTGGCAGCAGCGATGGCTACTCCATGACCTTGGCTCTACTTGGAAGTCCTGGCACCTGGGCTTTGGTAATACAAGCTGCTTCTTTTTGACACTTCTTCTCAGAGGTATTGGTGACTTCCTGCTACTGGTAATCTGTGAGTTGCCTTATTCTCTCCTATTTGCCTCTTCAGCATTTCCACTACCCAGGCATCAAATGCCCTGTATTAAATTCTCTCCACTTGAAGAACCTTTAATGATGCATGTTTTCTTCCAGACTCTGACAGTTACAACACGGTAATGCCAGTGCCAAATACATTGCATGTAGGTGTGAGGGCCATATTTGTTGCATGAATGAATACTTGGAGCAGGAAGATGTTAATATATGAACTTGTGCTTCCAACCACTAGAGGAACTATGAGGCTACAAACACCCCCTCTGGGTACTGACCTTGGTTCACAAAAGCTGGCCAACCCACCATACCAAAACATTCACTTTTCAAGGCCCCATTTCTAGTCTAGTCCCCCAAGGACCAAGCCTTCAGGTCCTGAACTCCCAAAAGCAGTGAAGAATTTCTTTGGGACACTTTCTCATGATAGGTTAGCCAGGCAGATGCAGGATAAAGGAGGAGTGTAGACAAGGGGAGGGTGTAGTGAAAAGTGAGACTTCTCTGAGAGGCCAGTTATCTCCAGTGAAGACACTTGTGCTTTCAATGTTTGTAAATATCTGTTTGGCCCAAGAGTTCTCTCCCATAGAAACAGCTAATAAACCAAGCTGCCTGAGTTTATTCCCCAAGCCAAGACACATTCCGGGGCCTGATTACATCGCGGTTTTATTATGGAAAAGAAGAGAGAGAGAGTGTAAGGGGTCAGGAAGGACAGACTCAGGGTAGAAAGCAGGAAACTGAGTCTTCAGGTTGATGATCTTTTGTCATAAGGTATCAGAACTACAGAGAAGTCAGAATCAGCCTCAGCTCTGCCCCCAAACAAGAGAACTCTCTTCACCTGGAGATGCAGGCCCTTTGGGCACATCATTTGAAGCAGGCAGCCACTTTACCATGAAACCAGACAAAACCTGGAATTGGCAAGTAGGTGGGAAGAGACCTAACTCTCTCCAAGAACAAGGCGGCCCCCAGGTGATGTCAACGCAACTGACCTGCAGCCTTCACTGCAAGCAGCAAGGTGATGTGTTCCCATCTTGCTGGTGTTTGACAGTCAGGCACCCCAGGCCAGGCAGAGTGGTATTCCCCATGTGGTCGTAGCCAATGCATGTCCACGGTAGGACATGGGGCCAACCCAGGCTCCAGCCAGGGCTCCTTTCCAAGATGGTAACTCTCCTCCAAATGCTGACACGTGTGCCCTGCAGTTTTCTTGGAGGGTATTTGCCTCCAAGAATCCCACTGCTTGTGGCGATCTCAAGAGAAAGCAGCAAGGAAAGGCACATGCAGGTCAGTTTTGCTACTTGTTAGGGACTGAATTTCAGTGACTAAGGAAACAGTATTGTCAACGTGTGGTTTCGTTTTTCTTTTCATTTCCTCAAATCCAACAAACCCACATCACTTTTTTGTGACCTTGCTCTACAATCATAGATCTTTAAATTTGGCGGTGACTTTGACGTTCAACTCCTTCTGTAACAGCAGTGACTATACTGACTGTTCACCAAGCATTTACTATGTGCCTTTTGCACCATTTTATTTCATATGGTAACCCTTTGACCAAACCATTTCCCAAAACGTTCATCTCACAATATACTCCACAAGCTAAGGATTCCATGGTCCAAAAGAGTTTGCAGAAATGTGGCCTCCCTGATCCTCAGGGGGGGAAAAAATCAGCATGGACATGAGTGTTGATACATTCTGGGAAGCTATGCAGTTAAGAATACCAGTGCGTGTTGTTAAAGCAAGTTGTTTCCCAAATATTTCTGCCCGTGGAATCCTTATTTCCTGAAATCCAATTAGCATCCCATCCCATTCCAAACGGCGAGAAAGCTCGACCCCATAATACTACTCACTGACAAGTTTCATTAAGATGGAGACCTCCAGAGTCCTAGTCTCCAGCAATGAGAATTATTGATGAGGAGAAGCTCAACACTCTTAACTGGAAAAATAACGGTTAAGGGTCACTGTTTTATTTTTTTTAAGAGATTTAGAGTCTCAATATGAATTTTCTAAATGGGTGTATGGAGGATCTTCCCACACATCACCCACACCGGCCTCAGAGGCATTATCATGGATATTTAAACACCGACAAAGGTGCTGTTCACCCACCCGGCCTCCCCCCTTCCTGGCAGTCGATGGGAGATATTATCGGCAAGGAGTAAACAGGCCCAACCCCGGAGTCTTGGCCACCCCAGTGTGACATCAAACAGCTGCTCAGAGGCCTCGCGGTGCTCCCATCTCTCTCCTGCTGCACTTACTTACGACAAGTCAAGTTTCCCGGAGGGGGCTTCTCTTTGAAGTTCAAGGGAGCGGAGCACTGTGTATGGATGTGTTGCAAGGAAAACTGACATTCATCTTGCATGCAGCCATCTTTTCCATGAGAACTGAAGAGGGGGAAGAAGAGACAGAATGGGGCACTTCAGATCATGAAAATAATAGCACCAGCAACCAACATGATATTTACAAAGCATTTATTATTAGTGGCACTAATAAAAGTAAGAACTGTAATGGCTCCTTTTTCACAGATGGGGAAACTGAGGCTCAGCGAAGCTAAGAGACTTGCCCAAGGTCACCAGGCAGGTGAGTGGTCAAGTTAGTTTGGCTCAGGACTAATTTCTCAGTTCTGAAAATCAGACAAGAGTGGGTTTCTTGGCCAAGCAAGAGGCAAAGACTTGTTTCTCCTAGAATTTTCTGCACTCCGAAGAAGACAGAGGTGCCAGACATGAATGGCACGCCTGGAGCCGCACCCCACTCTCCTGCCATGGTGGGAAGGGGGTGCATGCCCTGTAGCTGCCGGTGTTGGGATGCGGTCACTCCACCTGCTCCAGGCACAGCCAGGCCTTAGAGGCACAGCAGCCAACACACAAAACACAAGGGCCCGACCTTTCAAAAAGCGCTGGACATTCAAACACGCAAGGGCAGCGCAGGGAGAGTTGGCAGCGTCCACTAGAACCACACCCCTCTCTCAGCCCCATCTGTGCTACCAGGATCCACGGCTTTCTGCCCTGCTCCTCCCCACGTGAGGACAGAGGGCACACGGCAAAATTCTGAAAGACCCGGGCAGCCATGGAGAGAGCATACTTCAGGTGGGTTGCGGGTGGGGCCTGCCAGCCTGTAGAGGGGGGCAATGGGGGAAACAAGGTGGCAAGGGGGTACCCAGCAAATCCAATAGTCATGCCAAATAAAAGAAATGCCTCCACCTGGGAGTTCCCTCCAGCTCAACGGTCCGGCAAATTTCATCTTTTGTGGGCGTTTGAGTCAGCCTCCCAGTGGCCTCGCTAGTTGGGCTAATTCTGTGCTCTGCGAGGAAGACTTTTTTAAATGTGCAATGGTGAACACCCAGATGAACTTATCAAAGTACTTCCCCAGGGGACAGCCGCCCAGAGCAGAAGGAAGACAGAAGGCAATTCTGGGGGAAGACAATGGATGTGAGAAGTCCAGGAATGCAGGAGGAGAGAGGCAGCTCCCCAAGGAGGGGGTGCAGAGGGGGGAGGGGAAGGGAAGAAGAAAAAAACATCAGCCCTGAAGAGTGGCTGAGGCTGGGACAGAGGCAGAGGATGTCAAAGGCTCATCATTTACATGGTCCTTTCTCTCCCATAGCAGATTTGATCCCCATTTTGCACACATATATGTCTTTCACACTATAGTATAAATGCTTGCTTATCTACTCCCACTCTAGGCTGCGAGCTCCTGGAAGGAGGCACCAAGGCTATTAGTTTGTGGCCTGGTGGCAATGCGTATGAGGGTAACTTCCAGCCACCGCAGCATGAGTTCGATCCCCGGCCACAGAGCTGACCCACATGGTGCAGCCTCTCACCCCAGGCTCTCCAGGTGCCATTCCCCAAGCTTGATTATGCTGATGCCCATTCTGATTATTTAAGCCCATCCTTTGCTGGATGTTAAATATTTTTAATATGACCCTGCAAATCACTATGCTAAGGGCCCCTGCCTGTCTTTTCTGACTGAAGTGTTATAGAAATTCTTTGAGTGGCTACTGCTGCCAGCCCCACTTTACAGATGCAGATGCAGACACTGAGGCCCAGAGAGACAAGGTCATAGTATCCTGAAGTCATTCGCTTTGTCCATGTGGATAGAGCTAGTTTCTAGGCCACTACAAGCAACCTGAAAAAGAATGCATTCATTCATACATTTAGTTATTCATCGGTTTCTTCACTCACTCAAGAAATACATACCAAACTTACTATTCATTATCTGTGACTGCTCAACAATTTACCTCAAAACTTAGAGGCTTAAAATATAAACAAATATTCATGAGTTCATTTTGTGGATCAGTAATTTGGAAGAAGCTTGGCTGAGTGGTTCTGGTTCTGGGCCCCTCATGAGGCTGAAGTCAAGATGTCAGCTGGGGCTTGACTGAGCTTGATCCACCTCTAAGATGGCACCCTCATGTAGCTAATAGTAGGAATGGGGGCCTCCCTGGTAGCACAAGGAGTTAAGTCTCAGCACTATGAAGCTATAGGCAGCCACTGCAGCATGAGTTCCATCCTGGCCAGGGAGCTACCCACATGGTGCAGCAGACCTCTCCTGTCTCCCTGCTGCTCCCCTCAGCAGTGGATTTCAGTAGATTCACCTGTTCTGCTCCCCACTCTACCTCTGGTGAATCCTCTCACCTCCCCTCACCTCTGGGTGTAATGCCTACACCCAGCTCTTGTATAAATAAATTAAAAAAAAAAGTTTAAAAAGGCATTAAAAAAAACTATTAGTAGGAAGTCTTAGTTCCTTGTTGTCTGTTGATTGATAGGAGGCCTCAGTTCTTCACAGCATAGACCTTTCCACTGGGTTGTTTGAGATTCCTCATAACATGAACGTTAGCTTCCCCAGAGCAAGAGACCCAAGACAGAGTTGCAACATCTTTTATGTGGCTCACTGTGATTTTCTTAATGCCCTCTTGGATACACAGGCCAGGCCTATCCAACAAGGGAGGGCATTACACAAGGGCACGAACACTGATAAGCAAGGATCATTGAAGGCCATTTTGAAAGACTCCCTACACAAGTACCTGCTCTGTACCACAGTTTCTGGCTTCTGAACAGATTCATGGAGTGACAGGAGCTATGTATATGATCACACACATACACACACACAGATATGTGGTTTTACTTGAGGCTAGGAGATAAATGACATAATTATCTTAAACATGGGACAGAAAAAAGGCCCAGCCATGCGAGAAAGGCATGGCCAGAGTTCCATTTTCTGCCTCTTATTTCCTGTGTGTTTTTCAGTGAGAATTGAGCTTTTTAGTACCATTAGCTTCAGTTGGAAGATGGGGTCAATGTTAGTGACCACAAGGATGTAAGTGTTGAACACATCCCAAGTTGTGATACAGCTATTTTGTGAATGCATGAATAGGAAATTAAGAAGCTATGAGCATTTCAAAGAATACTTTGGGGCAGGCAGATTCTGTCTTGAGGGTTCCTTTGCTGATGTTGGTTAACAATTTTGTCAGTGATTTGATGTAACTATTCAACAAGTATTTATTGAGCATCTATTATGTGCTCGAATCCCTAATCCCCTGAGTCAGGCACTGGAAATACATCAGTGGGCAAGACAAATAGCCCTACCCTAACAGAGTCTCTGATTTATTGAATGGCTAGTGTGGGGGCAGGATGGGGCTCACTCAGTCAACCTCAGCTCTCATGGAGGGTGAAATGGATCACAGTGGACCCCTCTGTTGCCAGGCATATTAACCAAAACCAGTCAGAAACTCTTATAGTGAAAAACTGCTGAACAAATCATCTTGTCACATGGGAGTTAAGGGACAGTGAGGCTCATGGACAGGAACACCCCAGGGCAGTGTGTAGGTCTCCTGATGTTTTAATAACCTGCAAGACAGCACCCCTGCACCCCAGCCTAAAGTCAGAAGTGGGCCAGAAAACCACAGCACGTGCGGTGCCAGCCAGCACCCTAAGTTGCTTAATACAGTGCTCTGCCCTTTTGCCCTGGTGCTTGTGAGCGCACTGGTACTTTCTAAGCCTCTGTTCCATTCCTTGAAGGGGAAGCAGAGTTTCTGCCTCAAGTGTCCATTGTAGGACACATAATTAGAGCTTTGTATGCCAGTGCTGGTGCCAAGATGCCTGATTTTTGACAAGCCCAAAGAGCATGAAGGATGACCCAGGGCCGAGGGGAATGTTGCAGATAAAGAGCTGCTCAGCAGCACTGCAGTCTGCCCAGATGGGGGCTGAGCCACAAGTCAGCCCCTTGCAGAGAGCCTGGGCTGTGGGCACAAGGGGCCACTGCACCCATGCTGGCCTCCCTCACCTCCACCATGGTGTTGACCTTCAGGGAATGAGACCATGAAAACCTTATGCCTGTCCTTGTAGCCTGCGGCTGTGGTCTGAGAAGACGGGGCACTGCTCCCATTCAGGACACCCCCTGGGGTGGTCTGGCAAGCATACATTTTGCATGGTGAGGCTGACCCTGACTTTGAAGTCAAGGGGAGCCAAGTTTCAATCTCGGCTCAGTGGCTAATTCGCTGTGGGATAAAGTCAGTTCACCCCTCTGAACTTCACCCCTCTGAACTTCAGATTCTTTGTAAAATGGCAGAGCATTGCCTCCCATGAAGGGTTGTAACTTGTAGCCCAGATGGGCTCCTCGCTGGCCCTAAAATCAGACAACCCATGGATACAGATCCTGCCTCTCACCCCCAGCCCCACCACCTGCCAGCTGCAGACCTTTGGGAAGACTCTAGACTCCTGTGGTTCAAGTTTCTCGTTCCTGGCATGGGCTCATGGGGATCCGCCCATACCCTCCACACCACAACCCCCCCACCCCTTGTGCAGGCTGACCCAATGGCTTCCAATGCAACACCTACTATTCTTTGCCGGAGGAGACCCTTTGGCCCCTGGCACCCACTAGCAGGCCATGGGGAAGGCCGGCCATGGCTGAGGTGCCTGGAGGGGCATCCCATCCTGCTTGCTGGAGCTGACATGCGCTATCACTGCTCTTCACCCTCTGGTGAGCAACACGGGGCCTTCTGTGCATGCTTCCTAAAGCTTCCTATGGGACTTCACCCCCATTGTCCACAGTAGGGGTGCCAGTATTATGCGGGTGAGGACTGAGTCTTGACCTGCTTCTTCCATGTAAGGTCTTACTTCTTTGCTTCCCCGGCTGCTGGGGAGAGCTCCTGAATGAACCTCTCACACCCACATCCTGCCCTGGGGTCTGCCCCTCAATCTTGGTATGGCCTCACAGAGTTCTAGGAGGACACCTGGCTGAACAGGTGCAGCACCACCTAGTCAGCTTATGATCAAGCCAATCTGATCCTGGGGAGGATTCCAATAAGCAGGCGGATGGCACATAGAACCACTGTCACACAGTAGGGCAGCACTTAACCATGCCTGTGTCATTTGACAGGTTCAGCAAC